ATATATATATATATCGCTTCCTTATTTAAAAAATGACATAATTAAAAATATTTTCGAATTGTTATCATGAATGAATTAGGTATAAACATTACTCTCCATCATTTATCAAAAGTGAACTCTAACTTAACTTCATTAAAAAAATCAAAACGTCATAACATAAAAAGAATGGTTTAAAAAAGTTATTAAAATACCAAAATCTCAAAAAGTTTTAAGGATTGTGAACTGAAAGCGTTACACTATCTTTGCTGATATCAGCTTGCTGATATTTAATTAGTCAATAATTGTATCAAGTGGAAAACAGTTTTTTCCTTTTTTAAGAAATTAATTTTTTTATTTGTATCATTTTGAAATAAAGGAACGATATAATTTTTATAAATTTTTTAATAAGATCAAATATTACAGATTGTACACGAAGGTGCCAAGCAACAAATTGCACTGGCAGAAAAAAATATGAAAGTGCAGCAGCTCGATGTGCATCGAATGAAGGACGAGTATCGTCGAGAATTGCAACGCTTCAAGCATCTACTGAAGCAAAAAGAGGAAACGATCGGACGATTGCAGAAAGAGATTAGCGCGACCCGCGAGAACTTGGAACTTGTTTGGAAAGTCACCGCTGAGGATAATAAGAAAGTTAAAGGAGGACTGAAAAGCGCGAAGATACAGCACGTTTAGTTAAGCTTAGAAATTACCTACGTATTCACGATGTAAAATAAATCTAATTCCGTCTCTAATATATATGAAGGATATAATAAAAGAAAAGTATCACTATATGGAAAAAAATGATGTTAGATTAACAACATTAATTGCCGACAGCAATTTAATTTTGGAAATCTTGTTAATTCAATGACAGTATTAATGAAACAAATGCTCTTTTTTTTAATAAAATGTTATTTGTTTCACTGTTATTTGTATAAACATTAAAAATTGTATAAAGATTATTTTCAATTAGATTGTTGCCAATACAATATAATGTTGTTAATACAATATCATTTTTTTCTATGTAGCAATATAACTTACATGGCCTAACATCGATTATCTTAAGTGTCTTCTAGACGATTCATATTATTGTACAATATTATTAACTTATCTAGGTATTATATTAAGCCTGCAATTTTGAATTGTTTAAAAGGGGCATCAATAATATTGTACAAAATAATTAGACGATAAAACATTGAATGTCTAGAGACCGCTTTAGTCGTCTATAAACGGAAACTAGTCATTGTACAATATGTGTAGCATAATGTGTAGCATTATCGAAACACGCAATCTTTGTAATTATTACATACACAATTATATAATTACACAGTTTTCTTATTGCATTTTCGATTGAGATCGACATATAGGAAGACATTGAGTCGATTTGCCGTTACATCACAGATTTAAAAACGTCGCTCCGACTGACTGATCGTTGAGTATGATAATGTATTCCGCATGACACATACATTCCTCGTGCCGAATATACTAAACACGCGTACGCTCGTTTCAATGCTTAGAGGAAACGGCAGATTTATCGATAGGATAGGATCACTGGCTTTATTTAGTGGTGACATCAACTGGCAGAAGGTTTTGAAGGTTGCCGTAGGTGACAGCGGAGTTAACGCAGGGGAACCGCAGTGTCGCCGACATGAAAAATTGACGTCCCCACTTACATAGATTAGGAGTGATCTCACATTCCATTAATATTAACATGCAAGGCGCGTAAGTGCTCTCGTAATCGCTCGTATCACACCTTGCGCTGTCTAAACGGCTTTTGCTAATTGCCGGACGTTTTCCGGATGCAGATAATCTATAGACATTGGCTTTTACGATATTGTGATAATCTGACGATACATCGAGAAAATATTAGAACGCTTATAGTCGAAATATTTATTTCCTTTGTGTCAAATCGTTTCTCGACATCGAAAAGATTATTCGATAATCTTTGCGGTTATCATTTTTATCAAAATGATGATTAAAAGTCACTGTTCGATCAATTACGATTCATTTTAACGTTATTTTGACATTATTGTGATCCTATTTAGCTTGGATGCTAGTCATATTCTTTGGAATAATTCATATCATTTTCAATATTTGCTGAAATATTTTGATTTTTGAACCAAATGATGGCTCTATTGCGTCTCCGTTTTTACATTCTTTATTTCTTCTTTTTTTAAAGAAGTGTGTGTGATTCATGTTACGTGCGCAAAATATATACAAAAACGCGCAAGTCTAATTACCCGCTATAGCCCGCCATTTCGAGAATCGCAATATCGCCGTTCAAGAAATTTCGAGTTGCGATCAGTAATAGAATGTGTCATAGTTCATTCGTACCTTTTGGGGCTGTTTAGCATCCGAATTTCATTAATCTTATGCGTGTAAAGATCTCACGAAGCATCGACCGGTCGAAATATTCGGACGTTGTTTATAAGATGCAACGAAGATCATTGTGTTGCACTTCTTAAGTATTGAGGTAAAAAATAGTGACACTTTTACTGAGATCGGCCCGTTTCCGCGTTCTATTCGGAATTCATTGAAATCTTCATCTCTCATCTCGCACCTTTTCTCGTTAAGACGCGTCATAAATTCAATTACCGCTTATTCAGATATGTACATACATCATCGTTTTCTATTATTAACTATTACACTTTTGTGTAGCGTCGTAATTTTTATATAGCAATAGACACTTGAAACTGCCATTTTGATTTTGCGAAGTTTTACGCGTCGAGGAGAGTCGTATAAATCGTAATATATTTAGGAAAGATGAAAAAAGATTTCTTAAATCTAAGTAATATTTTTTTAAACATCAGTACTATATTTTTTTTACTGCAAATAAATATTTATTCAAAAAAGGAAAGTAACTTAAATAAAATAATATATGTTTACGTTTGATAAATATTTATTTGCAATAAAAAAATGTTTACTTAGTACTTTGTAATTCAAGAAAATATTATTTAGATTTAGAATTTTTTCATTGTAGAAAGAACGGTTTTGTTAATAAAAAGTATTTATCTTATCCCGCGGCTTGAAGAATCTCGTCGCATTCTTCGACTAAGAATCTGCTTTGACGCGTGTAATACGGCGTGTAATTCGTGACTTCACGAGCACGAGTGAGAGGTCGCGTAAAAATGCGAACGCCTAGTTGAAGTTAACCGTCGCCGGTTATTTTGCGTCGCCAGTTACGCGCGGCTTGCATATTAATTTGAGAAACTAGTTCCTCGTGAGATGCGTGATCGATGAACTTGAAGCGAATCCATTCAGGATATCACGTGTTTTCACGAGCGTGCGGAAAGGAAGTGAGGTGCCAGGACGAGTTTTTGACATTGAAAACGAGATAAGAAACTCGTGTCGCTTAAAATAAATTTATAGTATTTAAATAGTGATCCACATCCAGTTTATTCCTTGTTATTCTTATACTTACGCTCATTTCCACCAATGCAGATTAACTCTTCATCTACTCTTCAGTAATATTTTTACTCTTTCCGTCTACAATCTGAATCCTTTTTTTGTTCAGCTTAAGTTTTTACTGTTCTAGAGGCTTAAAAAAAAAATGGAAAATTCTGAGTTACTTTTCAATATCTTTATTATCGATGAAGTACTACAAGATATTTTAGGAAGGAAAACTTCGGATTTTGCTTTCCTTTATTTGATTTCGGAAAAATTTAAGAAATTTCTTTTGTGCCAAAAAAGATTCAGATTGCAGACGGAGAGTTAACTTTGATTTTGGTTCAATTTACTCTTCAATCTTTTCTAATTTTTAAATGACTCCTAAACGATTGTTATTGTACAATATTTCATATTACACAATATTCCCAGGTAGAACACATTATAATTAAGTCATATAATGATATACAGAATATCATCATGACGTCATTTGATTGACTTATAAATGAAAAATTGACTTATAAATGACAAATGAGGTCATGATGATGTCCTCATGACTTCTGTGTTCTACTTGGATTATTGATTACTCGGAGGCTATATTGAAAACCTGCAGGCTTGTTTTGAATTATTTACAGGAAGTATCAATAATATTGTATAAAATAATATTGATACTTTTTCCTATCAATGTAGATTAATTTTAATCTCAATTCAACTTTTTATCTTTTTCTAATTCTTAGAATTAGAAAAAGATGAAGAGCGAATTGAACCGAGATTAAAGCCAATTTACATTGATAAAAACGCAAAGAAGCTACACATAATGGCAAAGAATATTTGAAGAATTAAAATAACACAAAATATATAGTACATACTTTTATAAAACAATAAAATAAAATCAAAATAAAATAGATCAAAATAAATACAACAATATAAAATCACAAAATACAGCGCGCATTAAAAAACACGGCGTGGAAAGTCGCAGATGTAAGTCTCTTGAAGTCTGGCGCGAATGGTGGACCGTCCAAGAGCTCTGAAATATCGATGGAACATCCGAATGTCGGATGAATTCGAATTGAATATTCGCGGTACGTTCGCAACCGCCCCTGGTCAGCTGCTCGGTCATTTTCGGCGCGCTTCGGGCGGGTTCGCGCGCGCACTGGCAAAATGTCGTCTGCTAGGCGCGTCGTCGTCCGTCGTGAACCGGGTCGGGCATTCGTGACGCGAAAATCGTGGCGCGATAAAGGCGATATAATGCGGGGCGCGCGCGCGCTCCGCGTTCGCGAGTAGACGGGGTCGACGAGTGGTACAACCGACGAACCGACAACGGTGAATTCGATGCGATCGTCGCGCGCGTGTCTGATCGTTATTCCCGTGCTGAGCGGACCCGAGCGGACGCGCGCTCGCCGGGCCGAGCGGATAGTATAAAAGTCGCGTCGTCGCCGTGCGAAGCCACCCGTTCCATTCCCGTTCCTCAATCCTTCGTGCGCCGTTCCTCTAGGAAACATCGATTTTCGCTCGTTTTTCCGTTCAGACCGACGGTCGCCGACTACTGAATCTTCGGGATCTTTCTTCGTCGCGGCTTTAGGTTCCCATTCGCGACCGGCGTTCGTAGCCCGCGGACGATGCCGCCGTAAGGAAACAGACCACCACCACCACCACCATCACCACCACCACCACTACCACCAGGAGGCGAGGACGTCGCGCAGGAGGTGCGACGGATTATTTTCAGCGTAAGCCCCGCTTTCTCTCTCTTTTTCCGTCATACGCCCGCACTCTTTCTCTCGGATGTCCGTTGTCGCGTCTCCCCTCCTCTCTCTCTGGCGCTCTCTCTTTCTCTTTCTCTTTGCGCGTGGCACGCGTGAATCGTCGCCGTCGCGTGGCCACCATACCACCGCCTGTGTATAGTTAACGCAACGCTCCGAGCGTTGACGGCACAGCGGGAGGAAAACGGCTTCTCCGCTCTACTCCGCGCCGGAAGCGAGTAGAATCCTCGTTACACTTGACGAGCGGCTAGGTTAGCTTTGCCTTCGGTACACTGCGGCCTACGCGGCGCTACGACGTGGTCTCGATTACGTCGCCGACGGCGACGGCTGTACGTTGCGCCGCGAAGATACCGAGACACGCGACAAGTGTATCTTATTCGAGCTCCGAATTCGCGGACTCGTGCCGCTCGCGATTCCGTTTATTTCGCTCGTCTCGATCGTCGCCGTGCGGAAATCCATGTCGTTGAGCGATGCCGCACGTTGCCGCACGTTATGATAGCGCGATAGTGCACGCGCGTAATAAAATCGTGGTTGCTGCGAAAGTGCGAAAGTGAGTGAGAAAGAAGATGTGAATGCGCGAAAAAAAGAAATTTCTCCAAAAATCGATGAGAACACT